ACCCCCAAATTATCAGAGGCTGCCCATGATTTATAGCAAAGATATATTTACATTTTCTTAAAAGCATGACAGATTAAAGGATGCTTTTTTTTTTTTTTTTCTTATATATGAATTCTGCAATATATTCTCAAATACAAGAAGTGTATTCCTTTTTGTCAGTGCGTTCAGTTACTGCTAACATGTAAAGCAAAAGTTTTTTTTTTCTGCATTAGTAGCCATAAAAGTTTTCAATGTTTTCTATCCATAAATTCTTATGACCTTAATGTCTATGAAGTGGATTACTGAAAGGTATGTCTGTATAAAATAACAAGAAATAAAATTGAGGCAATATCAATGAGACCATCAGAAATCAGGAACAGCTTGAACTCATAAACCTCTTTGTATTGTTCAGTTACTCACTTAATAATTGTAAGAATACCTGTATCTTGATTAGAAGATCCCATTTTTTAATTTATTTTGGCTTTTCCAATAACATATAGATGTTGCCTAGAGCCAGACAAAACTAATCTGGAACAACGCAAATAACTATGCTAAATTGCTAAATTTTTGTTCAATTAATATTAGATATGTATTTCATTTAGATTAAGGATTTGACATTGCAATTCTCATTAGCCACTGCTGAAAAAGTTTTGTGTATCTTTTACTTTATTCTGTACTTATAATTCAATGCATGCATTTATCATGGTCATTGGGTTATTTAGTCATTGGGTTAATCACACGAGTTGATTTGAATCTGTTCCTGATCTTTGTCTATTGTAAAATAATCAAAATTGCAATCTCCTTCTGCAGTCATTGTACGTAATAGGCACTTTGGTCTGTCAGATTTTTGCTACCTATTCTGTCCCAGCATTTTTGGGCAGTTCATCACAGGCTGGGAAGCTCTCATTGGTCACAGGGAGCTGAAGACTTCAGGTAATGAGATTATTAGTCAGCATGGGACAGGTTCTAAAAATTACAAACTATTTATCGTTCAAGCAGACTTCAAAATCAGTATATATATATATAGTGCTGGAGCTTGGTTCTGTTTTGCTGTCGTGCCTCCACAAGTGACACGTAGTAGTGCTCACATATAGCTTAAATCTTCATTTTATGCACTTATATTACCTCAGAATTGATGACTGTAGAGGTCGTAATCCGGAGTGCCTGTGGATATCTCAGGCACTGTAGCATTTTGTCATGCACTGTTTATTATTCAACTACTCAGGCAATGTCATAAAAATCATAATAAAACTAGGAAGACACATCACATTTGACCCTTGCTGAATAATTTAATAAAGCTAGCTTGGTACACAAATATGAAAGAGCAATTGCTGATAAGAGCAGAACTATTGCTTCCTTGTCTGAGAATTGGAAACAGTTCAGAAGCTTTATTAACTATTCGGTGTCTTCATCTTCAGTGAAGTTTGTCCCTTAGGCCATAACCAAATGCTAAGCTACTTGTCTCTTCTCCTCCTCTCAGCACTTGTGCTGGTATCTTTCCTTGTGCTGTATACGATTATGTTCTCAGTTTTGCTTATGTCTCTGTGCAATTATCCATGCTTTTTTCTTATGGATGCAATTTCATTTTCACAAATATTTTTCTCCCCACAGATATATATTTGTTTATAATGATCTCAAGTGGATATACCTATAAAATTTTAGCTTTTTAAGAATGATTGTTACATGCACTCTGCTCTGAAATGGACAAAATTTCTTTTCCCTCGCTTGAATGTCCCCACAGTGAATACTGGAATAATTACAAAGTTTACAAATCTCCAGAGGCTTTACTCTTTTAGCCCCCTGCATCCACTGTGACAAAGGGCCTGTGGGGGCTTCAGGGGCAGTGAGGTGAGCCACTGCTATTCACGCCCTGCCCCTCATGAGATGCAGAAACTCGCGGGGCCCTTGGCCCTCTGTCAGGTCTGCTACCACCGTTTGGCCAACCCGGTTCTTCTGGAGATGGTTGTCTCCGATTGAAGACTCCTTGTGCTGTCAGATTCCCTACTTCCATCAGTGTCCTGGCACCCCAATGACTCTGCCCACGGTCTCCCAGGGTACAGACATGGGCTGGGGCCACCTCCTGCCCCATGGCCACTTCCCCAGCACCTCTCTGGCAGCCTTGAGCCTTTCTGCTCCTCTGGTGCTTGCCAGAGGGATCTTTTTTCTCAGCACAATGTCAGTTTAACAAGCTTCTCTCTCACCCACTCTTTCCAAAATTGGTGGCTGCCCTGGTGCTTCAGTGAGACCTACATGCCCACAGACGACAGGGAAGCAGTGCTGCCACGATGTCCCCCTGGCAGGCTGTGGGGCAGAGCATTTCTGGCCACGAGCACCTTCCCTTCATTGTGAATTCCTATGGGCTGCATGCCATATGCAACCTGAAAATTTAATCTGGTGTTTGGGGGAAGAATGGAGCCTTGGAGAGCACCAGAGGCTCCCAGAGCACCAATATGAAGTGCAGTGCTTCAGAAGTGGTACCTGTTTCACCTGGGAGTAAAACCTGAGGTAAATTTTTAAGCAGTCAGAGTTGCCTGAGTTGAAAATGGGATGATGAAGACGTGTTACAGACGTAAGATGAAGTTCAGCTTTCCTTTTATACCTCAGAGGGATTTTCAAGCACAGAGTAGTATAAGCTACTGGCATGAGTCTATGTGCTGCGTGAGGCATACAGCTGTGTGACTGCCCTCACAGAGGCTGGGTCCCAGGCCGTGAGTAGTTTTTGGGAGGGCATGGTGGGCCCCGGGGATGGCACAAGGTGAGGTGCTGGGGACCTGCTGTGCAGCACCCTTCCTGTGGGGACATGGTGCCTGCCAGCTCCGGAGGGAGGCAGCTCCAGGTAGAGCAAAGGGCTGGCTGTTGGGGGTGTCACTTGCTGGGGCCATGGAAGCTCAGGAGTGGGAGCAGGGAGGGGACAGCACTCGGCTGTGGGGGCTGGCATGACTGGGTGCTGCAGCATGTGAGGGCAGAGCAGCCATCTTGTCTCACCCAGAAGCCTGGCTTTCCCCGCGGGCAGGCAGGGGAGGCAGCAAGAGTGGCACTGGGAAGCCTCTGAGAAACCTGCTGGGTGTTTTCTCCTGAAGGTGAAGCCCTACTAGAGCTTCACACCTGTGGACTGCTGTCCTGGGGAAGGTGCATGGTGGCCAGGGACAGGAGGCAGGGCTGTGCCCCTCACTACTGCAAAATGTGTCTTTTCCTTAGGTATGTGGCATCAGCAAGGAGCAGCTGAGTGCAGCAACCGGGGTAGAGCCTGTCTGTCTTCTGGGGTTGGCTGGGAACAGCATATGCCATTTCTGCACTCAGCTTCTGTCACATGGGGCACTGTGTAAAACTAAATCCTCCTGCCTTTGCAGGTGCCACCGTGGGACATATCAGAGCCACATCAGTATTGTGGCAATCCCAGAAGATCTGTGTGTGAGCAGTGATGTGGCACTGTCAGGACCAGTGTTGGTGGTGAGAGGGGTCTGGGGATTTATTTAATAAGTGTGCTTTGAATCCAAAATAGACTGCTCCTGTGAGCCTTAGCTTTAGGCTGGCTTTGCTTTCAGAGCATTTTGCCAGATCATGTCTCAATCTGGACTGTGAGTGCTGGGGCTGAGACCTTGACAAAGTCTCAGGCATGAGGACCCCATCGTTCGGACAGGCCCTCCTGGCTGTCACCCTGGGCTGGGTGGCTGTCCCCAGGGCTGGCCAGGCTCACCTCAGTGGGAGCCGAGCAGGGTGAAAACAGCTGGTGGGCCTCTGCAAAAATAGTTGGCTTGGGTGAAATTACTCTGTAGATCTAGGCAAATCATAACTGAGCTTTAGACACTCTTCGAACATGCAGCAGGAATTTCTGCCTGCCTCCTTTTGCCATCATCATCAGTAAAGGGCTGTGTTAATGCCTTAGATTTAAAGCACCCGGGAGGAAGCTGTCTCCCTGTCTGTCCGCTCCCATTCCCCCTCGAAGGTTAGTCTGGTATTATGTTTTAAAACTTTAAATGGAAACTAAAGCTGTACTAGTGTGGATAGTATCACAAACTCTGTTGCCAAAAAGAGACTCCATGTATATCATTTTTTTAATCCCTAAACTTGAAAAAAAACAACCAAAACCCTCCTAAAATGAATATGCACAGTAGATAAGGAGCTCCATCTTATGTCCATGTGCACTCAGGCACTTTCCTTTGATTTTAGTGGAAATTTTAGGTGCGTGAGGACTAGTGATAGGAAAGATGAGCGAGTCAGGCAATTTTGATCTGTGAAACTACAGTTCTGTTGCCTCTATTCTGATTCTGCTCAAGTTCATCAGGAAAGATTAACTTTGGCAGCTTATTCAGTGACTAAATCTTGATATTTTTGTAGCTTAATTCATAACATAACTGTAAGCTATTGCCCTGTGTTTATATTTCCCATCCATTTCTCACATTTCCAAAGCATAGTGATATGTGATCCTGGCAATTTAGCTACCATAATTGGCATTTTTCTAGGGCCAAAAGGAAACAAATTCCTTATCCTCCATCCTTCTTTAATTTCTGAAAAACAACAAGTAACATGGTTAATCCTCTTTTTGATCTTTTTTCCCCCCTTTGAGTTTTTCTTATGGTCTTTTCCTTTTAATCTTTTACTTTCTTTTTAATCTTCACTCATTGTCCCCCCACATTTGAAGAATTTTGTGTACTTACATCTCTAAAAAGAATTGGACCACTTTATGGAAATAACTCTTTAGGATCTTGTTCAAAGCGCCATTATGTACTTTTAGCTGTTAGGGGGAGGGTGAAAAGAAAGGAGAGAAAAAGCAACTCTAAAGCAGTGTTTGTTTGTGTAGCCTAACAGAACATCAATTTGTTCAACTAAACACAAATACAGTACACAGATCACCCTATGTTACAATGAAACAAGATTGTATTAGAGGAGCAGAACAGTGAATGAACATTTCCCTGTAATTAGGGTTGGGTCATCTCATCTGTCTCCTGATACAGGTGTGTTTGGGCAAGAGCACTTCAGGAAGAGCAAACCAGGGCAGCACAGCTGAGTTCTATCAGCCTTTTGCAAACTGCTCTCATCTGCCAGCTCTTCTGAAGCAGCAAGGAATATGCTATGCTGTGGTGCATAATGCTTCCTAAGGCTGATGGGAGGGCTGTTGAGGCCCTAATGCTTGGAGGCTATATCTAACCCCATGAGCTTGGAGGTAGAAGAGTTTGTCTGCTATGGTATGTGTATTCCTTGGTTTGTAGTGGTTTTGTATGTGCGTATGTAGGGCCTTTAAACCTTGCCTAAAGTGGGCAGTGCTAAGGTTGCAAGTCTTCCTTTTCATGTCATAATTTCTTACGTTATGTGGAGGCTTACACCGTGAGTAGTTATGTGGAAACTGGTAAACTGTAGTATTGATTATCATGGGCTTGCTGTGAGCTAAAGTAGTTCTGCTTGCGGGGAAGACCTGAATATCCTGCAGTGTGTATGAAAAGTATAGAGCTGACTTTATTGTACCTGGATTCTGAGTTAGAGAGCTACCTCTGGGGTGAAGCCTGCATATTGAGTTTTGTGATCTAGTGTTAGCACGGTAATCTTGGTTGCAGGCTCAGGCTGGTATGGATCTGACCCTCTAAAACATGAGGAGAGAAAGTACAAATTTCTGTGCAGCTGTGTGAAGAAGCATAGGCAACTGCTGAGATATGTGGAACAGTCAGTTCATTGAATAGGGTAATATGAATTAAAACACTTCAAGAAACAAGCGCTGTGCACCTCAAGAAGTAGTGTGCTGCAGCTCTGAAGAAGCACAGTAAAGTGTAGGCATAGCACTACTCACTCATGGTAAACCCCAAAATATCACTTCAAGTCCACAGGTGTGATTCTTGTCACTTGTTTTTCTACTCAGTTGCAGCATCCTGTTGTCTGTCTGTCCTTCCCCCTTATTTGTTTATCTATTATTGCTCGTACTAGAAAGCCCAATAAACTTGGCAAACAGAGGTCGTGGGTTTTTCAAGCAGGCAAGAAATTTACAGGGATTAGCTTGTGTCCAATTTAATTTATGTAGAATCTCATGCTCCTTTTACTGAAGCGAATTCTTTAAAAAACAAACAAACAATGAGAGTTTACAGAGTTCTGGAAAAGTTGCAAAACCTAAATGAAAATCCTTTTCCAGTTACATGAATATAAATTGGGCATAGTTCCCCTGAAGATCTTATACTAGTTTAATAAATGTATTTTATTTGTAGTTAAACTGACCATAATGCTTTTCTCTTCTGTCCTCAAAACACTATTAGGTCCTCTAAATCTGTTCTCCTTCACAAATGAGAATAGGTGAATAAGATCTCTCCCGATAACTTGGCTCTAACCAAGAGCAGGATTTGGCATTGCTCTTTATAAGGATTTTTTTTTTCTTTCTTTCTTTTTTCTTCTTTTAGGCTGATTTTAAAACAAATAGTTAAACATGGAGCTGAACATTTCTTCTAGAAGTGGAATATTCTAAATGTACTTATACCATAGTCTGCTACTCATATAAAATTACAGACTTCACTTTCATCTTTCTTTTTACAAGAAACCCTTAATGACAAATGCAGGCTGTTTAGTGATACCGATATACTGCAATCTTAGCATGTGAATTAGTCATCATACAATCAGTTCAGGGGGTCAGGCCTAAAGAAACAGTTCAGAGTTGGCAAACTGCTAGTCGGGTGATGTGCTCTCCACTTCAAAGTCATGGTGCTTACTCCCCAGAATTCAGATCACAGAAAGAAACAGCTGGCATTGTCGTTTGTGGCAGTAAGGACTTTTTTTTTGTAGCAAGATAAGGTTTCACTACTTTGTAAAACAACAATTTACTTTAGAGTGACCTAGCCTGTAAAACACAATAGGAAGCAGGAATCTGCAGAGCACTGCTCTGCTGTTATCATGCGAGGAGACATGACCTGTGACAAACCATGCTGAAGAAGACTTAACCCCCTTACTCCTTGCCTGAAAATATTCAGTGTAGTCCACTTGTCAGTGACAGTCAAGGTTTTCATTTTCCAGAACAACTTTACAGGCTGATCTTTCCTGTTTGGGTATTATTCTCTTACATTTTTCCAGCATGGTCCATATCTGTGGCAACATGCAGTTACAGACTACCAGCCCTAATGCTTACACAGACATTATTCAGCTTCCTGCTTGAGCTCTGAGGCTGTCATATTTCAGCTGAGAGTTAAAATTTCATGTTTAATTTACTGATGGCAGCTGGCTGAGAACAACATATCAGTACTTAGATTGAAAACCCTTTCTTATCCTGAATGCTGGTGTTCACGCAACAGGCGATGTGTTTGCATGGGCTTTCCGTAGGGACTGCGTGGAAAGGTGTCAGATTCTGGGCCATCTTCTTGCACAGCCTGCCAACTGTGATGCCGAGAGGTTGCACCTGAGAAGGGCAGTTAGAGATGCTTGTCTGCAAATGTGTGTGACTTGTTTATGTGCGTCGAATCAGAGACAGACTTAAGCACCTTCCTCCACTGAGGGTGTGTTTTGTTTGTGGGTTACGTTTTGTTTTATTTTATTTTTTCCGCCAGACCTCTATGATGTTCAACTGGAGCTTTTTAAGTGTTTTCACTCGGTGACCTGAACAGATCTGTTCACCAAATATGGTGCGGGGGAAAGGAGAAAAAAAAAAATAATCACACGTTTAAAACTGCCTGGCAGATGTACGTCTCAAGGATTTGTTATTGTTCCATTATTGTTATTATTAATAGACTTCACTTCACAGGCAAGGCAGGCTTATCAGCCAAATGCCTCATTATCAAATGACTGAGACCCAATAAGTGCTTAACAGCATTCCTTACCAAAAGAGGAAATGATTACAGGCCAGATCCAAGTCCTGTTAAAGCGAGTGGATAGATTCCCACTTCAATGAAGTATTGCTTGAGGCCCCTCGGCGCTCGTTCTCCTCCGTGTTTTCTTACATGCTTTTTAATTCACCAACATGAACCAAACAGCTCTAGCTGCTCTCATCTCACAATGTGTTCTGCAACTTTTGGAAAGGAACCTGGACACAAGGAAAAATGCTACAGAACAAAAAGAGCCACAATACAAACCATATGACAATGCCTATTTCTTCATCCTCTTTGTCATGTTGTTTTACTCTTTCCTGGCATTAACTGTCTTTTTTGGTTATGTACGCTCGAAGAAAGCAATTTCAAAGAAAGATCCTTACCAGGAGTTCATCGAGGATAGGAATCGAAATAAGAAGTGGAACATGACCCGGCCAGTGGTGGTGAAATTTGACTTTGAAGAAGAAAGTATTCTTTGAACTGCTTAAACCAAAATACTCTGCAAATGCACTGGACTGTCTCTCCTGCCTACATTTCAAGTGAAGATCTACACATTTATCTTGTTCGTCTGTGCCCCTTTACAATAAGTCAAAGCATTGCTTAAAATAGGTAATGGCAAAAGGTTTTTTTTTTTTTTTTTTTCTTCATTTGTTGCTGAAATGTAGTTTTGCTCAATATTGGAAAATACTTTTTAATTTTAAAGCAGCAGTGAAAAGTGGCCATTTTTAGCTCTTGCTTCCAGCTGTGTGGAACAAGAATGGGAATCCATCGTACATCAAGACTCCAAATTTACTTAAGACAGAGGACTAGTTTGTGTATGCACGTACCTACACAAGGGGAATGCTGTCACTGCTGAGTTGCTCAGACCTGGAAATCGGTGGGTAGTGTCCCTGGAAAGTGCAGCCCTGGATCTGCAGAACGCTTTTTACCATGCCTAGACCAGCAAATACTATTTAACATGTAAATATAGTAAAGCTTCTCTTGCATTCCCTCCCCTCAAAAATTAATTTCACATGCTGTGGCAAAAGATTCAAAAAACCATCTGCAAAATGTAATTAAAATGCATCTTGTGGAAAAACAGGTTATGTATTCAGTGAGTTTGGAGTTCTTGCCTTTTCCATCTCTCAGATGTGTTTATTCTTTGCCAGCTTCTCATTTGAAATGTATGTTTCAGTCCTAGTGAATGGTAACTACAACGGATCACAAACCTAACAGAGAAACTGCCTCTATCTGCAATAAATATCTAACTGGTAAAATGTTGCACAGGCTTCATTCAGACTTGTGCTGAATATGTGAAATTTGCTATCTGATTTATTGATTTTTCTATTTAATAAATGTTACAGAACTATGACATAGAGCACATAGCCCTACTTAGCATAAAAGAACAGTGCTTATTGCTTTGTGGTACCATGCATGTGATATTGCACTGCTTAGTGAGCACGCTGTCTTCTAAGACTTTCATTTGTTTGTATTCTTATCTAGGATCACTCAATTTATGGTCTTTACTTGTTAAGTAAACCTTTTAGGTACACTACATATATCTGCATTACAGATGCAGTTGATCCTCAGAGGGCTCTCTGAGTGTAGTATGTACTTTCAGGTGAAAGTTAGGCTCTTATTTTTCTTAACATGCATATGAAAATAAAACAGCAAAATTTTATGAATATATTAGCTTTTCTTTTTCTGCTAGTGGAATTGCAATGCCAAGAATTTGATTTAAAGTGTGTTCATGGTTACTTGCTGACTATTTTAGGGATGTGTGGATTTTTTTTTTTTTTTTAATTCTTTCAATATTTAGAAAAAGTTCTTGTATGTATTCAGCCTGGGCTGAGCAATCAGATGTTGTTGTTCCTGTTTCCTCATGGGATATGTTAAGTGTTTCTGGTGTGTGTGTGTGTGCGCATGAGCAGGGAGGTTGATGTTATACATAACCCTCTTCACATGAATCTAAAATTTGCTTCCCACTTACCAGCGTGCATGTTTGTAGAAATAGCCACGTTGGCTCAGGCTGTAGTGCTCTGTCTCCGACAGCTGTGCCAGAGGAAGATAATAAGAATAAGGTGATACTTTCTCAGTTGTACTTGCCCAGCCTCCAAGGATTTGTTGCTCCGGGGCCATCTGAGCCAGAGGCCACTCCTTTTGTCTAAATGTGAGGGTGGGATACGTGCAGAATACTGATGTGGAAGTGTATGAACATAAGCATTTTAACAGGCCAAAAAAATGTTCACAGATGTATTTTTGCTGGTTTCATCCAGCTCTAATTTAGATGGTTTTGACTATAGAAACAAGACCAGGGTTGCAGACGAAACACTGATTTGTGTAAGCACTACGTTATACGTGCCCTGGCTCCTTCATCTAGATAGTTTGGAGAGAAAAAAATGAAAGTTCAAGTCATGTGTTCAATTGTGCTCACGGCTTTGGACTGTGTTAAACAAAAATTGCTCTTAGCTGGGTGTCTTACGGTGGATTGGAGCAAGTGGGAAGACTTGCTCTTTTGGACACGGAGTTCTGGATGGCTGTTCTCTGAATGTGCACGTAAACGCTGATTTCTTCTCCCGATGGAAAAGCCTTTCCACTCTTATATTGTAGTCAGTGTTTTTTTTTGGTTCTTTGCAGTGTATGCTATGTCACCTTAAAAATTAAAGATCAACTTTTCTGAAACTTCTCTCAAACTGATGTCCTTTACTTCTGTAAGCTGTTTCTGCTTTTGTCTTACTGGGCAATTATCAGATCAGCCTAAGCCCCTTGAACATTCTTTAGCAATGTGCTGCCATTGTCTGGTGTTTAGGCTTTTTGGAAACATTCACAACTCATTTAACAACAAGACCACAAGCTCTTCAAACAATTTTGAACAGTGTGCGCCTGTGTGTGCGTGCATGTGTGTGTGTGCCAACAAGAGGAGGCTTTTTGCCTTCCTATCTCCATGCAGCAGTAAAAATGTCTCTTTGTAAATGTCAGCCACAGGGTGTACGTTATTGGTGACGTTATTGGACTCCCTTCTACTGCATGTCAAAACCTGCTTGTCCCTGCCCAGGAGATCTTACTTACTAGTGAGAAATCAGACGGGGCATTTGATTACTGCAGCCCCTGGGCATGACCTCAGCCATTTCGGTGTTTCTGTGACTTCAGAGCACGTAGGTTGGTCTGCACCTCCTGCCTTCAGAGACGGTAAGCCAGGTAGAGCTAGTTCTAGGTTTGGAGGTGTGGTCCAAGCCATATACATGTCCTTAGGAGTTGAATTCCCCCTTGAAAGAACAAGGAAGACCTCTAATGGACACATTGGTGTCTAGAGAGAACAAGGGGGAAAAGACGCATCTTTTTCTCTTGACAGAAGGAAATGTGGCAAAGAACTGTAGTTTTTGCTCTCTGATGTGATGCGTTGCCTGCCTATGCTGGGAATAGGAGGTGATGAGGGCAGAGTGTGTAGGGCTAAATGGCACATGCGCCGTGATGTGAGGCTGCTGAGGCAATTGACACATTGCTTGGAATGTGAGAAGAAAGGAGAGACACCTTATTTTCTGTCTTCTGTGCATGAAACTGATATTTGTGTGGTGCTTCCAGAGCACGCAGAAGCCTGGGATCTGTAACCTCATCAGTCTCCTTTGTAGCTGCTTATGGCTTTCTGTATGTGGGGTGTGGATCATTAATAGGAGAGCCAGGAAAACCCCATCCATGGTGTGCTGTGGGCTGCGGAGTGTCTTACACCTCCGGGGTGGCCAGCCTGCTCCAGACTAAGGAGCACTGGCAGTGCAAGGCGCTGTAACAGGCTTAGCCCAGGCAAGGAGCTGCAGGAACAGTGTTTCCATCTGCAGGACTCCCTTCTGTGTGCTACAAGTGCCCTTAACTTTAGAAAGTTTAGAATCATAGCAAGAGAAGGGATTTGTTAATCGTCTGTTTTGTGTTGTTTTTTCCTATCTCTGCTTACTGCTATTCTGAATTAATATTATTAATCTCTTGATGTGACTACAACATGGAGCTGCTTTACTACTTACTGGTAAAAAAAACCAACAGACTAAGACAAAGTAGATCAGATTGTTTTGTCTCGCCTGCCTTTTGCTGTTTACTGCGTTACTCTGTAACGTGCTGCAACTGAATTTTTTTGTTTTGTTTTGTTTTTTTTGGATGGGGTGTCCACTCTGAGCTCAGTTTAAAGGTTTTGAGGTATTCTATTAATGGCTTTACTAAAACACAGACGTGTTGTAGTTTTCACTTAGCCTCGTGAATTACTATTTTATCTCTCAGACTGGTCTGTAATAAGGAGACCTGAGCAAACCCGTGCCGATGTATATTAGGTTATCTAGTTCTGTATGCATAGGTGCGTGTACATTCTAGCATGTTAGAACTGTTCTTCCTTGAATGCTAGAGGTATGACAGACGAGCAGGACGAGCTAAAATGGTAGTTATTTTGGACTGCTGCTCATGGTAATGTAAATCTGGATTAAGCTGTTCTGGCTGTTTGTTTTGATGTTTCCAGGTACATGAACTATGCCTTGAATGAAACATTACATTATGGGTCCGTTTTGATTACACACAGCTCTGATTTCTCAGTGAAACTTCCTGTTTCCATGGGAAGTGTAAAAATAAATGTTGTATATGAGCAAGTTTTCCTGGAGCCCGCAGGCAGCTGTAGACACTAAGAGCGTTATTTTGCTGTAGTTATCCATGCATGGAAAACTTAACGGCAGCAACTGCTGTTGCATTCCAGAAAAATGAAGTGTGCCTGAATTAAAGCAGGCCTGATGCGCTACGTGTCCCTTACCTTCTCTTCTAACTCGCACGTCAGATGCTGCAGACTTTTGTCTCTTTGCCTGTCGCATGCTTGCATGTATTCAAGGAGCCTGATATTTTGAAAGGAAGTCTATTTTTTCTCATCAGATGAGCATCTAAAATAACTTTATGGAGCTGTTCGAGTATCCCCTGGCCTGGATTCAGAGGAGCACACCAGTGTGTACTGAAGTCTTCAGTCAGCCATGTGCATGAGCGCAGAAGGATGTGGAAAGCACATGCTTGAAATTAAACATATGCTGCAATGTTTTCTCGAGTAAGCATGCTTCCCGAACTTGGAACCTCGCTAAGTGCAGCAGTATGTAGCACAAACTTAAAGTAAGCAGCTGAAATAGGCTGTTTTTTTTTTTTTTTTTTCTTTTTCCTTTTGGTGTGGGATGTGTAATAGCAAATCCTTTGCTGTGTAAGTAAGCTTAGTGAATTAACAGAGCTCATGCTACTGGGAATAAGTGAATCCTGTGGGCTTGTTTCTAATGAAATGAATGTGAACCCTCCAAAGGCTTTTCCCCCCCATAACAGAATGGTGCACTTAGAGGAAGCCTTCCAACTCTTCTAGTTACTCTGAACAAATTGGAAGCCGCAGTAAGAAGTGATTGACAGCCGCGTGTAGTGTGACTGTACACTGCCTTCAACTGGTGGTTTTTCTTTCTTAAAGTCCTAGCAACAGAGCCTTCTTTTCAGCCTGGGAATGCTGTGTGTGACCCAGCACATGAAATTGCATTAAATATAGATGACCTTTGGCAGTGACCCTTCCCCTCCATCGATTTGCTTTCATCCCCCAAGCAGAAGGAGAACTGAAGTGGTCATAAAATTAACACAAAGATAAAGGATTCTGACAAGTGAGGTTACATACCTAGATATCCTTGCATATATAAGAAGATACTCGGTGAATGTTCAACCATACAAAAGAAAATTGTAATTTCTCTGGCTAGTTTTGAAACCTGTGGTCAGGCCCAGTGTGCTTGTGCTGGAGTAGCTGTCCTTTTCTGTCCTTAGCAAAGCCCTCCTTAGCAAGTGGCAACAGATGCATGCAAACAACGTTGTTTCCACTGCCTGTGCCCTGGTGAGGACTGATGTTGGCTCAGTTTTGTTGGCACAACTCTCCAAAGCTTAGAGTGATCGCTTTGCCCTTTGCCTGAGTCCCCAAGATGTCCCAATGTGATAATACTCATACCACGGGGAGTCAGACCACAAAGTAAACGCAGATTTAAGAGTATGACTACTTGTAGCTATTACAATAGGATCAAGTACAGATTTGGAAAAATCCAAATTTAGGATTTGAAAAGGGTGTGATGATAGGGGTAACAGTGTATTGAACCAGAACCCAGTTCCATAATTTGCTGAGCGCTGTCCCTGGGTTAGCAAAGCTTGCGTGTGGTGTGGTGCTTGGTGATCTTGACAGACCAATAATTCTCACACTGTATGTTTTGGGATGGGGAGGTGTTCCTTTTGACATAATGCTGAAGCTGTAGATTCCTTCCCCCGGTCTTTAAGCAAAGCAGAATCGGTTTGGTTTCCAGCAGAGCATTTTTATTAATTAAGCCTATGAAATACGTTAATGTGCAGAATCATTAGGTAATCACATAAATGACTTTGTCGTGCAGTACCATGTGACCTGGTTTAAATACATGGTCAGAAGTATTGGTGAAACTTCTTCTGTCTTTTCTTTCCTCTCTCTCCCTGGCACTTGCTGATTGATCCAAAGGGCTGTGTTTTGAGGGAACGAGTTAATTGCAGTGGAGTGGTATGGTCAGAGCCTGTCCTGGGTTCTCGGGTTTACTTATTGTTGTTAATCCTGATGGGTTTGGGGGAGAGGGAGCATAATCTGCCCTCAGCAGCGAGTACTATTAGCCAGCCTGGCAGAGTTGCTGGCTTCACA